GCTGTCATGGATAGCACTTCTGGGTCCATGGCCACCTCATCTGAGGAGGCAACCATTTTTGTTTTCAACAGTTTGCATACTTTGAAGACTATAAGGGAAGCAAGACAGTCATTTATGTCTAGTCAGATACTTCCTGTCACCTTGTCTTCATTTCTGCATTGCACGGTTCCCTGCCATGTCACTTCCCTTTACTTTGAAGAGCTCAAGCTTCTGTGTCAGAGCAGATCAGTTCTCATTGAGTGTGTCTGCCTTTTTCTTCCTGCCTTTGTTCCGGAAGGATGTGCTTGTTGGCTATGGGGTCTTATATTTTCAGGGTTGAGGTGCAGCTCCATGGAGGAGGGCGTGCCTGGCACACAGGAGGCTCTGGGGTCCAGCTCAGCACTACACACATAGAAACACAACTAAACAAAATAGCAACTGACATTCTTTCCTACTCAACCCTCAGCATTTGCGATGCACTGCTCCACTGTCTTCTGTGCATCTGATGAGAAATCTACACTGATTTAAATTATTATCCCCATGTGCAATTATTGCTCCCAAGTGCAACCTGCCGCTCTTTTCAGCTTTGTTTTTCCGTCCTTTTCTCTTTGTTCTCTCGGTAGATGACGACTATTACTCTGGCTCCAAAGTACTGGCACTTTCCTCCATCTCCTCTTCTCACTGTGAAGTAATCACTGTTTTTGCTTTCCAAATATTCTACTTTTCAGTTCTCAAATGTCTACTTGATTTTGTCTCTTATCATTTATTCTGCGCTTCTGAGAACTCTCTGTCTCTGTCTCCCTTTCTTTCTCCCCCTTCCTTCCCTTTCCCTTCTCTTTCCTCCCCCCTCCTTACCCCCACTCCTTTTCTCACTGTCTTGAGGATTGAACTCAGCAAATGCATGAATACACTGGGCCAACACTCTACCCCTGATCTACATTCCAGGCCCTTGTAAGCTTTCTACTGTGAGGTGGGGTCTTTTTGCTAATTTGCCCAGGGTGTTCTTGAACTCATTCTATAACCCAGGGAGGCTCTGTATTGAATTTGCAACTTTCTTGCCTCAACCTTCTAGATTACAGGCCTGAACTACAATAACCAACTTATCCTCTTATTCATTTCAGAATAAGAAATGAATTCCCTTCTAGAGCATGGTGACGGTGGCCCTTTGTAGTCTCTATGTGATAAAGCTCACAGCTGTATCACCAATGATGAGTGTCTGTTGACTCTCCCTCCCCATGAGAATTGCTCATGTTTTCTTGACTCCTTGAACCTCAACATAACTTTAGTTTACACACACACACAGACACACAGACACACACACACACACACACACACACACACACACACACACA